ACAACTAAAAAACAATCCGCAGCACCTAACTTCATAAGAAACTTGTCCTGTCCCACCAATTGATCCTTGTGTTTCTGTCGGTCGTCCTTGATACACTTGTATCCCCGGCGCAACCTGAGGTTGACTTGCTTGTGTCGAACTGCTAGCCTCGTTGCCATTTGCATGTTGCGCAGCAGCAGCAGCTGCTGCTGCCGCTTCTGCACGGGCCAACTCTGCTGCGCTGGGAGGGGAAACATAAATTCTCTGCAAATGTATTAATTTCCATGATATCACAAGGGACCAATGGAAGCCACTCACATTTTTCTTGCGACCGGCAGCTACTTCAGCGGCCCGTATAGAACCTCCTCTTGCAAATAGGTTGAAATTCCAACGTCGGGGCTCGAGCGGTATTGATTGTGGCGCGTTGGCATGTCGAGTACCCAAAGGCAGTAAACCGAGCAAGCTACGCCAATGACGGGAAGACGATGGGCTCGCAGGAGAAGGCGTGGGGTTGGCATCAACGTCCCAGAAGTCATTGCCCTGTGCCACTTGTTAGACTTGCGAGAGCCCCGGAACGAAAAACTGCACTAACATATCTTGCCAAGCCTTTGTTGACGGCCTGGGGCCGCTGCTTGGAGATCTGACGACATGAATAAGCGAATGAGCAGAGTGTTGATAACTGATTGGCGCACAGCATCTATCGATCGAACTGGACGTCCCTGGCAAAAAAAAGTGAGATACAACGCGAAAGGGAAGCGCAGACGACTTGCCTTGACCTTCGCACTGCTCTCATCCCCACTCTGAATGACGACCAGACCCCACTTAGAAAAGACACAGACAACGAATAAACACACGCACGTGATTATTGACTGTATATTTGAGCGCCGCTTCCAGGCTCCATACATATATCTTTCCATCCGATCCAGCACTGACGATATATTTTCCATCAGGGGAAATGACAACAGCCAAGATTTCGTCGTCGTGCAAGAGCGGGTCTCCGACCAGCTGATTGGTGTTGAGGTCCCAGATGCGAACTGAGCAGTCAGCTGCTGCACTAACAAGATGACTTTCATCAGAGGAAAGACAGAGGGAGCGGACGTGATAGGTATGACCCTGAAAAACAACAAGCTCTTTCCCATCAATCGACCGCCATTTTCGGATAGTGTGATCGACGGACGCCGAGAAAATGTGTGCGCCGTCCTTGGACCAACACAACGACGTCACCTCGCGCTCATGACCTTCGATCTGCATGAGCAGCTCGCCATTCTTTGACCACACGCAGATCACCTTGTTCTCTCCGCCGCTCATCAATTTGTCCCCTTGTGGTGAGTATCTGACAGTGAAAACCATCCCATGGCCGGTCTCTATCGGTGGTGCTATTTGTCGGCCAGTATCCGGGTTCCAGCGTCGTATGGTGCCATCTTGTGATCCACTTGCTATCTCCTGGGCATTGAACGACCAATCGATGGACCGCACTCCATCATCATGCCCCTCCCACGATTTGCCGAAAATGCTGTCCTTCCTGATGTTCCACAGCCGTAGCCTGCCATCTGAGCTTCCGCTCACGACCATTGATTCATCTGGAGATATTGCTATAGAGCATACCTCTCTTCCATCACTGTTCCAAGGCCTCCCCACTGGCTCTCCGTCTCCTGTCCACTGACGAATTGAACCATCGCCTGACGCGCTCAGTATATTGGAACTGGTGCCCATGCAGGCAAGGCCATAAATGACTTTGCAATGACCGTTGATGATGCACTTCGGCGTCAAGCTCCCTGGTGGACGCTCAGGCGCTGGTTTTTTCCACGACGTGGTCTTTGTATTGTGATTGACGAAGTAGGACCGACCAAGCGGTGAGATGTGCCATTCGCATCCGGGAACGAGTTGTCCAGGAAAATCTATGTTTCACCATTACTAGTTCCTCGTTGCTAGTGGGACATTTTTTCGCTCACCTAGTCGCACTCCTGGTAAAGGTCGGTTCCAAGAAGCCATTACGACTGTGTCATCTTGATATGCTATTGTGTCATCTAGCAGCTTAGACTGCCACCATTGAGGAGGGAGCGCTTCATTCCCGCCTGTTTGTCGTCGAGTAAGTAAGTAGGTGTGAAAATGCAGACACTTACCTTCCCAAAGTGCATCCTGGAGATATTGTGCACCGTAGGGTGGTGGATCCTTCTCCTTCGTCCGACGAGGCGCGCTAACTACCGGTAAGTTCAACAATGCTCTTCGTTCTCCATCTCTTCGTTGTGCTGATGCGTTTGATTCGGCCATGACACTGACGAAGAAAGTTTGAGACACCGCTATCTTTGCGGACGAGTTGACAGTGAGACAGTGCTCGATAATACGGAAAGTGAATGGTCGAGAACGAGAAGGGATGGTAGAAGTAACGAAGAGACCTGCGGTCAGATGTGATGCTGTATTTGCAGGCGCCTTTTTTAACCACATGTCAGGGCAGTTCTATAGATTGCTGTACATTACGTTAGAATCGTCAGCGAGCGTCAAGATATGAATCCGGGGCGTAAATTATACGTCAGTCAAATGTAAGATCCCCGACTATATCTCTGATATGAATCAGTGCCAACCATCATCAAGTTAATGCGTGGCGTACCGTGAACTTCATTATCAATAGAATCAGGAGAAAAATGGTAGACTCGTTCGAGCGACACGAATGAAATCAATAGATAGTGGTAATGTCGCGGGACAATAATTCAATATGGTATCTTTGAGGGTCAACGTCGCCAAGGCGAGTGGACTCCTATTGATTTGTAAACCAAAGTCTTTGATGACTGCACGGTGCAACTTTTCATGAAGCTCACGACTCTATGGTAGACACGGTGACGAGGTTGATCTTTAGGCTCGATCAAGGGCCAGAAGATGGCATTGTTGTACATGATGTTGTTAATCCTCGAGACGCGAGAACGATGGTCGACTCTTCTCATTAGTCGGTAGATAAGTTGGCCGTATCGTAAATACGAGCATAAGGTTGATGTTGATCAAATCTTGAAATTTTGTTCTTCTCACATGCATCGAGGCCCCAGAGGATGATGTGGTTCTGACCCGACAAGAGAATTGAACCCATGTCACTCTAGCCGGGAATAAGGTTTGACTCGAAACACACGCAATGAGGAGAAGACGAGGCGAGGTACAGAGTTGATTATCAGATCTGTATCTTGCCTTGACTCCTGAGTTGGAATGGGGCCAGTGCTCAAAGTAATCGCCGTGTGGTGCAGGTTGAGAGTACCCTGGAATCGACTCGTTTGTACGAGAATGGTAAAACCTTACACGAGTGTCTGAATATCGGTTTGATGCTGCGAATGTGTGAATGTAGATGGTCCGAAAAGATGTGACAAGATGGGAGTTGAGGAAGGTAAAAGAGAAGCCTGCCATCCAAAAGGTATAAGCGAGGCCAGATCGGACGCGCTCAAGTTAAATTGCCTCTATGATGATTCAGTAGTACTGTTAAACGCAAATATTAAACTTGCGCACAATTCGTATACACGACAAGGTTAAGTTTCGTGGTTCTTCTGCTTACTCGCGGGTGATGCATCGAGGGCCAAAAGATGACGTTGTTTTGACTCAGCGGCAAGACTACAAATAAGCCACAGCAATGTCACATGTAGCCTGCTGTACATGATGTTGCAAATCCTGGAAAGCTTGCGATGAGGAGAAGATAGTAAGGTCTTTTAGTCTTTTAGATTGGGACCGAGTCGCAGGACTGCGCCCCAGTGATCACTTGGATCCAAATCGTCAAGGCAAGTCAAACTCCTGAGTCTAATGGGGGCAGTCCTCAAGGTGATTTCCGTGTGGCGCAGGTTGAGAGCACCATGAGATTTACTCGCTTGTATCGAATGGTGGAAGCTTCCATAAAAAGGAGAGGGGGAATCATGTGGGATTGGTGGGAAGATGTAATAGGAGATGAGTTGATAAGATGGAAAGTCTAAAGAATAAGCGATCAGTGAAGCGATAAGAGGATGGTAACAGAGAAGCCAGAAGCGTAAGCGAGGCGAAGTGTAGGATGCCAGTGAGAGCTCGATGGTGAATTGATCAACAGCGCTGAGCGCTGGGATCTGAGACTTGCTCACACGTGACACCAGTATCCTCCGTTTCCCGAGTCGCTTAAGACTTGAGTGCCACTACCTTTGTAATTAGCTCATCACTCGACGTAATGACCTGAGCTGTCGTGTTAGTGCAGTGAGTCAGACAGATACCTAACTTCGCGAAATTGCTGATAGCCGCTAGATAACGGTGCCGCGTGTTCCAGGATGTGGGTACAACCGAGTGGGCGACATACTTGACTTTGGGCGCGGTTACTTTTGATGACATCCTTATTGCATCGTAACGGCGCTCAGCCGCGCCAGTCCCCGACAGCATCTGTATTTGTACAGAATTCGGATTCGCGTTCACACGGCCTTACACCATGGAGGTTAAAATCACAATGAAGAGTGGTCGGTCGTGTTGAAGACGTGCCTTGGAGGAGTCACATCAAGCCATCAGAAAAAAACGTCCAGCGCGCCGCGGTCCCTCCATGCCATCAACAGCGAAAGCATGAAACAGAAGTGGAATGAAGCATCAAGCTCAAGGGTCAGTCCGCCGTGTTGAAGACGTGACTCGAAGAGTAACCAGAGAATATCAAAAACATGCAAACGTGCAATGTTGCGTTCTGATACAAACAGCTCCAATGCTTGTGTAGGAGTTCCGAGGATCATATGACCATCGGTTTGATTATCGGCCAGCGGAAAGAATTTTCCACGCATCAAATGACAGACGGCATGACATTTATTTTCTACAGAACCTCTCCCCACTAAATTTGTGGGTGTCCGGGATCATCACTATGTTACATAAACCTGGTCAGATGGGAGATGGATATCTGGATCGTGATATGATAAGAACAAGACATGTGCTCCGAAATAAATTCGAAAACGTACTCCTTCCTGTCATGTGACTCAATGTTTGGATTTCGCCGTTTATTACGTTTATCATTACTCCAACGCACGAAACGCAGGCAGAGTGCATATCACACAGTGACCTGTGTTGTGTCAGCGTCTCGTGTCAGCAAGACATGCCTTCGTCGACACACCATGCCCAAGACTCCACTATTTTACAGAGTCAGTCACGGTGACACCAAAAAATATCACTGCGATTGCGAAAGAGCTAGCTGCACCAAGTACTTTATGGAACGTGGAGATGGCATGCAGAGTTTGGAGGTCCCGATACGAAGGGGACGTGTTCTCTGAAGAAAAGAACGCATACTGGTATGGCCAGCTCTGTACTTCCCGGGGCTGTTCTACTAATGGTAGCGCGTCAGATATTCGTAGGTTTCTGGATCGGGACCCACAACCTGTCCAGCAGGATGAACAGGATCATGATCCTGGTATAGAGGTTCGTCTTGTTTTTCTTGTGCTTTCTACTACAATGACTTATGATTTCAATTTATCCCTACAGGAGAACCATTTTGCAGGTTACGACGCCTCTGGAGACATTCATGACACAACGACAGGTGTCCGCCCTCCCATATCACCTCCTCAACATGTGGTTCCACAACGATGTCCGTCCCCGGATCCACTACTATCCGACCCTAATAACAGCGTTGTTCTCGCACCCCTAGATGCGGACCAGTGTGTCCTTATGGAGGATTTATACTCACGTGAAGCGTCACTCCAACATGTTTGTCTTATGGACGCAAACAGCCAGTCTAGATGACGAAGACACCGGGCTGAGCGCAGAAACCGTCGCACGGCTCAAATTCCCACTGCAGTTCATGCCTTCGCTTGAGGGGGATCACCACTGCCGCCGTCAAGCTCTACCTTCCACATTCAGCTTCAGACAAGGATGCGCAAGATAATCATCGAGCTTCACGGTTGGGCGCCGGCATGCAGTGCTATGTCTCGCAATGTTGTCGACATTTTTCGAAATGGCTGGATACAAGGCATACAATCACGCATATCGTTCAAACCAGTGAGTCTTGGATCATACCGCGAGTTCTTGTACTAATCGCATCCTTGCCGAGGCATGTGATTTTGTACGTTCCAGGTGCAGAGCCATGTACATCATCGCCTTCCATCACGATGGTTGACGCTATATGATTTCAATGTGATCTCCATACCGTCGAAAGACAGCAGGGAGCTCGCTAAGGATCGAGAAGCAGTCAGCCTGAACGACATCACCCATCAGAGTAGGCACCAGCAGTGCAGGAAGAGTCGGAGGAGGGCTGAGTCAAACGGTGGTGCACATTGCGATTCTTGAGGCTGCAAGAAGTTTGTCCATCGTACTCATGAGTGAGTATTCAAGGGTTCTTGGGACGAATTTTGTTATAATCCAGCGAGACGCACGCCAGCCCTGCGAATCTACGTGTATGTTGACCGGTACGTCATCTTTGATACTTGACAATATATGCGCCAATTTATAAAGTATGATGGACAGTCGGACTCATCTGCGGACGTGTACCAAACCTGCCCCGAGTCATCTATGAATACACAAGCTCCTGCGGCCCGCTACATCGGCCTTTCCAACGGGCGTGCTCGACGTTCGAGTTCACCCAACACGCACGGCATCTACTGCACCCCCGCCCCTTAGTTCGTACTCAGGACCAACATCTTCCGGGGGAAAGTCCAAACGTGCAGACCTTGTCGAGCATCACGAGATGTCACCCATTCCAGAGTGTCTCACATCCTGACATGCTCTTGTTTGCTCTCAGACGTTTCAAGGATCAATCGTCTGGAAGACCTCGGAAGATCGAGCTTAGATTTCCGATATCACTGCTCTCAGTTAGACGGTAGGAAAGAGCGAAATTCTGTTATTTCCGTCGCATTCTGATCATTCATTATAGTTCATATCTTTATCGATGTTCTCATTGTTCGATACCATCATCTATTGTGTCATCCTTGTGCTTTATCGTACGAACGATTGAACAGTTGCAACTTCGTATCTGTGCGAGGGTATAATCAGTTGCCTGATTGGCAGGGAGTTAGATAAGAGATAGATGCTGTGTATAGCTGTTGTGCCACAAGCCATAAGTATTAAGAACCCTTGCTTCGTGTTCGTTCGCTGTCATATTTCTCCACGACCTGGTTCTGTACCGCAGTACAGCTTTCACGATAAACCAAATCACCTTTACTTCAGAACGCATATCGAGATCTCCCAATGGCAACCATCGAAGCCCGGGACCTCAGAGAAAGAATCGGGCGCTTTCGAGTTCTGATCATGGGGAGAGCAAACGCAGGCAAAACGACCATCCTTCAGAAGGTCTGCAACACCACGGATCAACCAGAAATTTACGATACCCAAGGAAACAAGGTGTGGGTGATGATCTATGCCATGCACGCCTCTATCGCTGATCAATTGTGGGTAGATTGATACTACCATCGTGGAATCCTCGATCAGGGTGTGTGCATCATTTGCCCTGTGAGCATACATGCGCTGACGGATGTTCAGCGTGGAAATCACGATATCACGGACGAAATGGTGTTCAAAAGTAATCCCGGTTTCGTATTTCACGACTCGTGCGGTTTCGAAGCGGGATCTGAGGAAGAATTCGAGACTATGAAGAACTTTATCTCAAAACGCGCACATGCGACAAAATTGGAGGAGCGAATTCACGCTATCTGGTAAGTAGCCCCCTTCCGACGTTCCGCGCTTTTTGATTGCCATCAGGTATTGTATTCCGATGGACGAACATTGTCGAACATTCCAGCGGTCAGAAGAGAAGTTCTTCCAGGAGTGCGATACCGGGCACGGTGAGCTTTCAATTTCATTGTCAGTTGCCGTGCTCGGGCTAGATGATCGATCTTCAGTTCCTGTGGTCGCGGTGTTCACCAAATTCGAAGCTCTGCGTCCCGTCGCATATGGAGAAATCAAGAAGCAACTAAAAGGAGTATCAGGAGAAGAACGCTCAAAGAGGATTGCCGAGCGCGTCGAGGAACTTTTCACTAAGACACGAATCTTGGATCAGTTGGGCAACCCCGAAAATCGTGCGCGTCCCAAGTCCTATGTACGCATGCAGGGTAAGTGGTTCAGTTTTTATTTGTCCCATGTCAAAGTTGACATTAGCAAACGTGCTAGAAATGAACAAAACGGATACAAACTGCAACACTCTACTGGAACACACCACTTTCGCACTAGACAACGAAGAATTGCGGTTGTGCTTGGTGTCGACACAAAAATCAAACATGGAGCTTTGCATCAAGTGTGCCATCGCGTGAGTCTCAGATTTGCAAGTCACATAATTTTGTTTCAACATCATCTAGAACACTCGTTGATTGTGCGCATAAGCAAATCGATTATGGAGACTATCAGCATGACATTGCTAAGTGGTTTCCACATCTCAAAGTAAGACGAAGATTGATTCAATCTGACGATCCCTGGTAATGGTTCTCATCCATGGTGAATATCGAAGCGCTAAAACTGTAGAAATTCTGATATGTTTTCCTTGATTGTAGTTGTTTATTGATAACAGCTGGTAAGATTGTGGCTTACAAAGCTAAGCAAGGACAACGCTGATGCCTTACTGCTGCTCGTCTGTTGACAGTATGTGAGTGCCTTGATTGTTCCCGGTCCTCGACCCATGCTCATGATCCCCATCCCTCGTTGCTGCTCGCCTGTTGACAGTATGTAAGTACCTCGATGGTTTCTAGTCCTCGACCCATGTTCATGATCGCGATCCCTCGCTGCTGCTCGCCTGTTGACAGATGGTAAGTGCCTCGATGGTTTCTAGTCCTCGACCCATGCTCATGATCCCCACCCCTCGCTGCTGCTCGCCTGTTGACAGGGTGTAAGTGCCTCGATGGTTTCTAGTCCTCGACCCATGCTCATGATCCCCATTCCTCGCTGCTGCTTGCCTGTTGACAGTATGTAAGTCCCTCGATGGTTTCTAGTCCTCGACCCATGTTCATGATCCCCATTCCTCGCTGCTGCTCGCCTGTTGACAGGAAGTAAGTGCCTCGATGGTTTCTAGTCCTCGACCCATGTTCATGATCGCCATCCCTCGCTGCTGCTCGCCTGTTGACAGATGGTAAGTGCCTCGATGGTTTCTAGTCATCGACCCATGCTCATGATCGCTATCTCTCGCTGCTGCTCCCCTGTTGACAGCGGGTAAGTTCCTTGATGGTTTCTAGTTCTTGACCCATGCTCGTCATCCTCATGCCTCCCTGCTACTCGTTTATTGACAGAACGTATGTACTTTTGATGATCCCTCATCCTCAACCCATGCTGACAATCGCTGCTCTTCACCTGTTGACAGGAGGTCAGTACCTTGATGGTTTTCCGTCTGCAACTCATGTGGACAGCTCCTACACTTACTTTTTTTTGGCAGGTGGTGCGTGTCTTGATCACATCTTGCATCCAGATGATGGTCAATAGTATAATGATGTTCACTCGTTTTCATAGCCTGATGTAAGCGTGTTCTATTCCATCAGATGAGCCGAATTATCATTACTCATATAATGCTTAGTTCGTTGAGTATCCCCCCTTGATAACTTATTTTCCATGTTCATTCATCTTGCATATTTTTGTGTCCTATGCAGAATGTGAGTCGTTTGACCTTCATAATGCGAAGCGTTAATCTCAATCATTTTGACTCACTCTGTCGATCTGTAGGATGTAAGTCTCTTTCAATCGCCAATCATTTTAGCCAGATAATCTCTTGCGTTCTTCACGTGTTCGCAGAATGTGTGTTGATCATATCCTGTCTGACATCATGTTACTCCACTGACAAACAATCTCGTCTAGCTCGTACGTCCATGAATGGTATTCGCCAATATAGTGATGCTCATCCGGTTCCAACCCCTGACAGTTTGTAAGTTACCTGAGCACAGCGGTCATTGTCTACAATCTGGTGGTTGATTATTTGCAACCGTTACGTCGACCAAATAGAATGTGCGTCTCTGTTATTAATCAAATTCCAATTTTCCACCTCATGATTCTGACATCCCTTTTTTTTTTTTTTTTTTTGCTTCAGATTGTGTCCTTTGGGGTCATAGACCCTATGTTGGACATGTTCTCGTCATAAGCTTTCTGTGTGTTATAGGGCAAAGTTAAAGGGTGGGTTAATTCGGACTCGTACTCTGTCACATGGTGTGAGCAGGTACAAAAGGACAGCTGCGGGAAGAGGATGGGTCAGTGTGAAGGTACTAGCTGGATGTAACGCTTAGTCTGTGATGTGGTTTTTGGTGTTCGTCTGGTGTTGGTTGCTGTTGCTTGGGTTAGTATTATCTTCGTTACTGACGTGTCCTCTTCGTTTCCGACAGTGGCGCCACGAAGTGGCGTCTTTCCTTTTGACGAGGAGTATTATGGGGATTATGTCGCGGAGTGATGTATGGTATAACTATATGTTTTGCTAGTATGTTTTCTTATACAGAGTTTACAGTTCACCGAATGTTGATTTGAAGCGGCCGGTGCTATTTACAAAGCGGATTAGATGGGGTGTTGTTTTCTCGGATGTGAGTATGTGCGTGATGGATGTTGCGTTGCGTCTGACGGCGTTTGCGAATATGTGGCGTTCGCGTCTATACTGTGGGCAGTCGAAGAGGTAGTGGTGTATTGTCTCGTCGATTCCTGGGCATATGGGACAGTGCGGAGTGTCGCTCTTGTTGATTCGATGCAGATGATAGTTCAGGGGGATATGGCGGGTGCGGAGTTGGATGTAGATGCTTGATGTGCGTTTGCGCAGGCCGTTGGTGAGTTTGATGAAGTTCGAGGAGGGCATTGATGGGTCTATTGTTCGCGTCCTTGCGTACCTTGGTGATTTTTCCCATATGGTTTTCCAGTGTGCTCTTGATTTGTTCTTATGCGCTGCTTTCAGGGCAGTCTGACATCCCTTTCCCGCAGGGGGCAAGTACTTTCCTCCGTGGAGTTGATTCCGATACCCATACTTTCAACCTATGGCTAGGCAAAAACCCACCGATATGATATTGTCCGCGTCCTTTAGCCCTTGGTAGGTTGGCTTCTTTCCGCATTGATTCCCAGCACTATACGAGTGTGCAACAGGCTGTGAAGGGTTCACTGTTCACTTCTGCTGCGAACAGAATAATTCAGACTGGCATCGGTTAGTTTCTCGCCACACCAACGGTTGTAGTCTTAATCACAGCAAGCAGCTACCATTATCGTTCTCGAGTACTCTGCGTTTCTCCCGCACAAGTCGAAGGGTTCAGAGCTCGTCGAGTCTGCCCTGGACTACTACCTGAAATCTCCCATGGTTGCCGCAGTAGAGAAAGTAGCGAAAGAGATTTGTCGTCAAGACTACCACGGAGAGGAACTGGGAAAGAAGGTTCTTGAGTTCATCCTTGATAATCGCTTGTGTACGTCCCTCGTCTCGTTGTGAACCTCGAGGTCGAAGTTTACGAACAACCTGCAGCATAGGACTTGACAGAAAAGAAGTAGATGATGTTCGGGTCAAGCTTCCTGTTTTTTGACTCCGTCTTTCCTCATGCTATGTGCTCGTGTCGTGTACGATACCAAGCACGTCAGCTCTAACTCCTGAGCGATGCAGTTGTTTCCAATTCTCTTCCCCGTGTTATGTACTATACTCGGCACTCCAGTTTCAACACCCGGGCCGACGAGTTTTCTATACCAAGTCAAGCAGATTGTTACTGAGTCGAGTCCATCGTGCGTGACAGATTTCGCAGCCAGTGGTCTTAGCACTTAAATGCTACAATTCATCCGCCCTCGTTCTGATTTTCTCGTTTGTTGTTGCTGTGACTCACGTCTGCTTTCGCTCGCATTCTCTTGCTATCGCACCTCCATTGTTTCCATACTAGTATTCACTAGTAGTTATGCACTCTACTCGGATTGCGATTTTACATGCTGCAGGACCATTCTGCAAGCTCGTAGACTGTACCCATAACTATTGCGTTGCTTCTGCCATATGCCGCCGCAATCTACATAGTATCACTGTGTCTTCCCGCATTTTGAGAACGTACTGTGACTCGTCGCGGTCCAGCGTGAGAAAACACGATCACCATTTACCGCGGGCTGCCATGTAACATGTTCTTTCGTCGAATTTACACGGCCTACGTACGTACGGTGATATCTACCCATCTTTTGTGGTGAATCTTTTCACAGACTCGGAGCCGCCACTTTCTGAATCCGAGCAACACATTGACAGGACGTAAGTCTGCATCTAGTTTGCATAGACCTCGCGCGGACGGATCAAATACCGCATTTTCTGAGATTATCGAACTCTCAGCCTCCAACTTGAATTATTATTTTTAGTGTCCGTTGGGGCGTAGCCCTATGGTAGACAATACATGCGCTATTCACTTCTAATAGGATAGTCGATGGTGGGTGGGTGAGCTCTGATATGATTGGTCCCGGCTGGGCGAGGACGAGTACGCCGACTTAAGGCGAGGATAGGGGGAAATCGACCATTCTTCTATTGGTTCTGGGGGGGTGACGTCCCCGAAGGTATGCTCCAGTCTTCTTGTGCGTGCAATGTAATGAAGGAGTGGTCTGGTGCAGTTCCCGTTGTTGAGTAGCTGTTGCAGCTGGTTCGCTTGTCGTCCTGCTTCCGCGCGCAGGGCCGCTCACTGACGAGAGTACTTCGGGCATTCTAGGAGGAAGTCCTTGACTGGTTCTTCATGTGCGTTGCATTGCAAACAACAAGACATGTGGGACTTCGAAATGTGGAACAGGTGTTTGTTTAACAGTATGTGCCCTGTTTGGATTTGGGACAGGAAGGAGCTATGACGGCACGGGAAGGGGTCTATTCAGGTTGGCGAAGTGTTTCGAGGGGGCGGTGGGGTCTATCAAGTGAAGTCTTTGGTAGCTTGAGTCCTCTTGCATGGCCGTATTCACCTCCTGTTTGATCTCGTGGTGGAAATGTTGTTTTGTTGCGGATTTGCTGATAGGGAGAAGGATGGGGGTGTGCGTTCGTGTGCGTAGCGAGTTGGGGAGGGAGTTGCCTTCTGATGTCTCCTTTGGCCGCCTTCTTGGCCTGCTCGTCCGCCTGTTCGTTACCCTCTATGCCTTTGTGGCCTGGCATCCACCTGATCATGACCTTTCTTCCGTTGTTGGATGGCAAACGGCAAAGTGATGATCCTGGTGCCGCCGTTGTAGAATGAACATTGAAGATCACGTGCATAATACGAACTGAATGCGCATGTGCCATACCGTGACATAGCATGGTCTGTCAGTGGCGTGTAATGACACATATGAATATCTGAAATGCTGGATGTTCATCGTTTCCGTTGCATGTGTCACGGTACAACCTATGCTGGAGGGTTGAAACCGATCATCATCCGAAGGCGGTCTAGGATGAGCCTGCGTCGTACATGGGCAATATTCACACCAGCGTTGACGGTCATTGCTCAAGCCTTCGCCTCAAGGGGTGTGATGCAACTACATTGATTTGATTTATGAGCAAAAATGTGAGTCATCAGGCCCTGGTGTCATGCGGCCCCCCTCCCGCGGCTAAAGCGCTTCTAGTTGAATATGAAAATGCTTTGTCGCACTAGCACCTAAATATCGCACTGTGACAACGACAGCCCGAGCCTCATCTTGGCGCTCATGGACATATTCGGGTGCGAAAAGGTGCCTGCAAATGCAGCGTACACACCTAACCTTCTCTTCATCAGTCTGCTTCCCCCGTGGGCCCGTCATCTCCCTATCATTGGCGCAATCTGCTCGTTGCAATTCAGCACTCAACTTGCACATGTGTACCAACAA